GGCTCACGACGCTCAGCAGGACCTCCTATCCGCTCAGTGTAAGGAGAAGGAGAAGGCCGTGAGCCAGGCTGTAACGGAAGACCAGTAGAAGACGGGAGGCTAAGAACCTGGTGAAGCACATAGTCAGGTGGTGGCAGAGACGACGGTGACGGCGGAGCGAAGAACAGGCGCGGCTGTGCAGTGCCACCAGCACCAGTAGCTCCAGCACCTCCAGCAGCGCCAGAACCTCCAGCTCCAGCACCTCCAGCAGCTCCAGAACCTCCAGCTCCAGCGCCTCCAGTAGCTCTAGAACCTCCAGCCCCAGCGCCTCGAGCAACTCCAGAACCGCCAGCTCCAGCGCCTCCAGCAGCTGCAGAACCTCCAGCTCTAGCGTCGCCAGCTTCGCCAGAACCTCCAGCTCCAGGGTCTCCCGCCTCAGTACCTCCAGTCGCAGCACCCCCAGAACCGGCACCTCCAGCTCCAGGGTCTCCAGCCTCAGTACCTCCAGCAGCAGCACCTCCAGAACCGGCACCTCCAGCTCCAGGGTCTCCAACTCCAGAGGTGACAGTACCAGCTCCTGGGCATCCAGCCCCAGTACCCCAAGTCGCAGCACCTCGACGACGGTAGCGCTGAGCGCACCACTCGCGTAGCTGCTGTCGCGAGAGAGGCGGCCGCTGCGACGCAGCACCAGGAGGACCGCCAGGAGACTCAGCACCCCCCAAACTAGCACCTCCAGCTCCAGCAGAAACGCCAGTCTTGGCAGCTCCAGAACCCCCGGTACAAGCAAGTCCAGAACCAGAAACACCAGTGCTCCCAGCGTCTCCACGACCACTCGCTCCAGCAGCTCGAGCAGCAGAAAGAGGGAGACCCAGAGGAACACCAGCCGACTCAGCACCCCCGGACCCGGTACCCTCTGGCTCAGCACCCCCAGGCTCCGCACCCCCAGACGCAGGACCCCGAGCAACACCGCCCCCGGCAGCACCAGAGGCAACCGGAACCAGCCACAGAGGCGACGAAGACGGTCGAGGTGGAAAACCCGGAGGGGTCGCCAAGCGTGGTGAGCGGCGGGGGGGCACAGCGGGGCCTCCAACTCCAGGGTCGACAGCGCTAGCTCCAGGGCCTCCAACCCCAGGACCTCCGGCAGCAGCACCCCCAGTAGCACGACCCGTAGGAACTCCAGCTGACTCAGCACCCCCCGACCCGGCACCCTCCAGCTCAGCACCCTCAGGCTCCGCACTCGTAGGCTCAGCACCCCCAGGCTCCACACCTCCCAGCACCTCACGCACAGGCTCAGCACCCCCAGACGCAGCACCCCAAGTAGCACCACCCCCAGCAGCTCCAGAGTCAACAGTAGTCGGCTGCAGAGGCGGCGAAGAAGGTCGCGGCGGGAAACCCGGAGGGGTCTCCAAGCGTGGTGTGCGGCGGTAGGCCTCTGGGGCGTCAGCAGCAACGTCACCCCCCTCAGCTGGGCCAGAGGTGTCGGAAGTGACCTCCAAAGGCTCAGCCAAGGGGAGTGGGTCTACCTGAGACACACCTGAAGGAGTGGGACCCTGAGGGGGGAGGGGGTCTACCGGAGGGGAACTTGGAGCGAGGAAAAGCGGCGGGGGAGGGAGAGGGGCAGTGCGGTAGGGGAAGAGACGGTAGAAAGGAACCGACTCGTCAAAGGTGACGTCCTGGGAGGGGAAGACGCGGCGCGAGGTGGGGTGGTAAAACTGCCAGCCAGACGCGTCAGGGACAAAGCCAAGGAAGACACAGGGAATGGTGCGGGAGGAGAGCTTGTCCGCGGACGTATCGCGGACAAGGGCACGAGCACCCCAGACTCGGAAACGCGACGCATCGCCAACCTCTCCCGTCCAACGCAGTGTGGGCAAGGTGTCAGGCAAGGAGACACGGGACCAGAGGTTGAGCTGATGCGCTGCGTACCGGACCGCAAATGGCCACAGAAAATGGGGAGCCGCCGCATGGATCAAGGAGGTACGAGCGATCTCCATGACCAAGCCAATGCGGCGCTCAGCAACCCCATTTTGCTGCGGTGAGCCCGGAAGCGTGAACGATTGCTCGATGCCCTCCCTCTGACACAAGGTTCGCAAGAGGTCGGAGGTGAACTCACCACCTCTGTCAGAGTGCAGACGCTGGACAGGAAGGTAAGTCCGGAACCTCCGGCGGAGCTGGAGACGAACTACGCGGATCCAAGGAATCATGACAGCAGGGACCTCACCCTTGGTGCGCAAGGGGAAGACCGTGGTGTAACGCGAGTAGTTGTCGACAACCAGCAGAAAGTGTCGCTCACCGCCCTGTCCACGAACGCGGGCTGGGCCCCACACGTCCAGGTGGAGGGTCTGCAGGGGAGCCTCTGTCGGGGGAAACGAGGAGGGGTGAGGAGCGGCGCGCTGCCGCCCCTCGACGCAAGGAAGGCAGGGCGGCGCAGGCGAGGCAGGGAGGGGAGGGAGAGACCTGGGAAGACCATACACAAGGAGGTGATGGTGTATGCCATGTAGATGTGGCAAGGAGGGGTGACCCGGACGATGGTGCCAGAGAAGAGTCTGGTGCGACAGGGAGCGACACTCACAAGGGGAGGCTACCAGACCTGACGCAGACACCTGACCGACAGCAGCGACCTGAGGAGACACAGTCGTCAGTGTGTAGAGACTCGACCCTGGCCGATGGGTGAACGTGGCCAGGTGACGGCCAGTCTGTGCACACGTGCAGATCGCCACACGCTGCCATGCAGGGGTGAAGGTATTAACCCCCACATCCTGAAGGGCAGCGTTGCTCACCAAGTTCGTAGAGAACGAGGGGATGTGGAGACCTGACAGTGAGCCAGACGGAACCGCCGGGCACGGAAGCACAGTGGTGGACCGTGCAAGGACTGGGCCCCCTGAGGGGTCAGCCAGAGACACTGCAACAGGTGCAGGGAGTGGTGTGAGTGCAGTACTGTCACGAAAGAAACAGCGGGAAGCACCTGAGTCAAGCGTGAAGGTGTGCAAAGCCTCAACAAGCGTAGTACCTGAGGGAGCAGACTCACTAGCACCTAAGGCAGCAGCCTCACTAGCACCTAGAGCAGCAACCTCTATACCGGGGTCGTACTGCACACACAGTTCACTCTCAGCATCACCAGGCAAAGGAGACATGGCAGTAAGGATGGCGTCATAGTCCAAAGCAAAGACATCAACGCCCGACCTATGCAGCTCAAGCCAGTGGGGTGTCTCAGCCTCGTCGCCAAACTGTGCGTGCCAGGCGTCAGACAAATAGGCGAAGCAGCGGGACTGTGCGTGACCAGGTGTCCCACAGGTCTGACCAGCTCGACGACCTGTGCGAATGACGTATGAGCAGCGACCAGGACTCGGAGATGTTCCACGCTGGCAAAGCCACTCACGAAGCTGCCGGGACGTAAGGGTCGGACGCCGCTGTGGCTCTGGCCACCGCCAGAACCTCCCCACTGAACAGCTCCACAGCGACTGCTACTACGGCCGCCACCACTCCCACTGCTGCCACTACCGCCGTCACCACTCCCACTGCTACGACAAAGTGAAGTCATAGCGGGTAAGCAACGAGGCGCACGACTAGGAGGTCGGTACGGAGGGAAGACAGCAGCACGAGCAGCAGCAGCAGCAGTAAGAGGAGCAGAGACGCCCGGTGAGGCTAGGCTGCAGCACCTCCAGCACTCCTAGTACCACCTCCACCAGTAGCTGCAGTAGCACGAGTAGCAGGGCGGATCGGTTCGAGTAGGGCGGCTCGGCTCGGCCTGGGCTGCGCAGGCAGCAGGGCGCGCGCTGTGCAGGGCAGCAGGGCGCGACGCACGAGCTGCAGCAGGGCGCGACGCGCAGGGCAGCTGTGCGCGACGCGCGGGCTGCCGTAGGGCGCGACGCGCAGGGCAGCAGCGCGGGCGTAGGGCAGGGCGCTGGCGCAGGGCAGGGCGCTGGCGCAGGGCAGGGCGTTGGCGCAGGGCAGGGCGCTGGCGGGCGTAGGGCAGGGCGCTGGCGCAGGGCAGGGCGCTGGCGCAGGGCAGGGCGCTGGCGCAGGGCAGGGCGCTGGCGCAGGGTAGTGGGGTAATGCGGTAACCGTAGTCGGTCGCTAAGTATGGTGGGCCCGGAAAAAAAAAAAAAAAAAAAAAAAAAAAACGGTCCTATGGACCTACTGCTCTGAAACCATGTCAAGATAGCAAGCAGGAATGAATGAACTAGCAGCAGGATGGGTACAAGTATGAAACCCTAATTTGGGTTGTACCCCATATGGGCTACCCCACTACAGCCTACACAATAAGCAGCATATATGTTTGACAGGTAGATCTTCGCAGGAGCCATGGCTGCACAGGAGTTACTCTGACTCACCTATGTGCTGACCGACTTGGGAGAGCGGCCTCGTTCTCCTCCAGTTCTGTACGTAGACAACGATGCTGCTAATGCATTGGGTCAGGAGCATAGACTGGAGCACAGAACGAAGCACATCGCTCTGCGTTACTTCCTGGCTCGAGAGTTGCAGCAGCGTGGTCAGCTTCGTCTTGCTTATGTGGCCACTCGGGCCAACACTGCTGATATATTCACCAAGGCACTTCAGCCTGGTGATCATCAGCGTTTCTGTACTGCTTTAGGCCTTGTGCCTGCTTTGTCTCACTTGCTCACTGCGTGACTTTGCTTGTACTGTGACTTACGGTATACATATATACCTGCATGCTTACACTTTCTAGGTTATGATCTCTGGCCAGCTTTAAGGTTGTGGATGACGCATTAGCATAATTTCTTGCACTATGTTACAAGTCAGACAACATTACAACAACACTGCATGGCGCCTTGACAGCCTTAGGCATCTTCCTGAACACGTTGGGGAAATACCGTACAACATCTGCTGGTGCCTTGACAGCCTTAGGCATCTTCGTGAGAGTGTAAGACCCACGGTTCTTGGTAATGGGAGACGCTTGCTGGGCATGCCTTGCAACAGAGACTGCTGCTGGTGCATTTTCCACACTGTCAGTCACCGTCACCCAGTCGCCCAACCTGCCGGCTAGCCGGTTACCCAGCCGGTCAGCCGTCTGGCAGTTTGGTTTTGAAGAGCACGCAGCGCTTGTCTTCAGGGAAGTAGGAGTTGCCATCGCCGGGGTTCATGTTGACGGTCATGCCAAACACGTCCATCTCCGCGGCCGTCACCTTGAGCTTCACATACGCGTTGCGCAGCGTAAACAGGTTCTCTATTCGGTTGAACGTGCGCTGCTGCACGTCCTGTTGGGGAAACGAGAAAAGAACCAAGAAATGGGGAGAGAGCAAGCGAGGCACATGAAAAGAAGAGGTGAGTAAAAATGAGAAGGCAATGCAAGGAGGAATGGGTTCTCCATGTGGCTGCATGTTCGTTGCTGCACCATGCACCATGCACCATGCACCATGCACCATGTGCCCTGCACAATCCACCTGTGCCATGCACCATGCACCACCATGCACATCACACTTCACCATAACGCACTGTGCCGGTGATATACAGCTGGTTGCCAATGTCCTGTGTCACAGCAGCATCGTTCATAGCCATTGCTGCCGTCGCCGTCAGCCCCCCTGCGCTCCCACCCCCCACGCCCGCCCCCTGCCCCTCGGCACACACGATCTGCGCCTCGCCCGAGTTGCCCGCCAGCACTTGTATGTCGCTGCCCATTATACTCGTTTTAAGCTCACTCGTTGACAGCACTGCGTCGCCCTGCCGCGGCTGGATGGAGAAGGTGGGCACCTCGCCCTCGTGCCCCGCAAAGAAGAAGGCACAGTCCGAGGGGGACGGCTGGCACCCCGCTATCGGCGGCTCAGTAGGCGGGGTGGCGGGCGGAGGAGGCGGGTTCGTTTCAGGGTTGTTGGGCGGAGGGGGGTTGGGGGGAGGGGGGCTCGGGGGAGGGGGGCTGGGAGGCAGGGGACTGGGGGGCGGGGGGCTGGGTGGTGGTGGTGAGGGGGAGCTTGGGGGGGAAATCGGGGGGAGGGAGGGTGGGGCGATGGAGGGGGGAGCAGCAGTGGGGCCTGGGCTGGTCTCAAAGATGGAGGGGGGCAGCGTGCTGGGGGGTGCATTGGAGGGGGAGTTGGGCGGAGGCTGGGGCTGGCCGGAGGGCGCTGGGGTGGTGGGAAAGAGGGAGGAGGAGGAGGAAGAGGAGGTGTTGTTGGTGGTGCTATCAGTGGTGTTGCGGATAATGGCAAGGCCGGTGGTGCCTGTGATGGTGAGGGGAGAGAGGAGGGGGGAGGAGAAGGGAGGTAGGTAAGTGGATAGGAAAGTGCAAGAGAGGGAGGCATGGCACAGGGCAGCAAAGCACGGGGAAGCGCCGCAGCTAGTGAAGCTTACAGTTGGCAGCGACTCAGGCAATGCATTGATCAAGGCGAGCCGTGCCAAGAGCGGGTGTAGTGACCTCGGTGCTTACAGTTGGCGTCAAGCCATGACAGCGAGTCTGTGTGTGCGTCAATTATTCTGGTTAGTGAAAAGCATGCTCAACATAGCTAGCCCTGTCAGGTATGGGCGCACTGGTGTTGGCCGCTTACAGTTAGCTTCGAGCCAGGAGAGTGTGTCCGTGTGTGTGTCAATGACGAGGTACTTGTCCCTCATCCACGCGTCGCCTATCACAGCCCGCTCCTCCGGACTGCTTGCCATGCGCACCGTGAAGCACACCACGTGGGGGCTGCTGCCCACCTGGCGAGGGCACGTGGTGGGGCATGGGGTGGGCACACATAGGCTTTTGAGTCGACTCAAAAATCACCGTGTGGAGGGGCATAGGGCATGGGTTGTGATGTGAGACTGCATGGCATGTCACAGCGTGGCACGGCATGGCAGGCAAGAGCAGGAGGGCAGGCTACGTTTACGTACGATCTTGAGGTAGTTGGTGGGGGCGATGGTGAAGTCTGCACTGCCCTTGCTGCCCGCCAGCACGAGTGTGAGGGGCGGGAACTGCTGTAGGAACTCCGTGGGGGTCATGGATGACCTGGGGGGAGGGGCGGGAAGGAGAGAGGGTGCAGGTGATAGGGATGTGTGAAGGGAGAGAGAGTGAGTGATGTTAGAGAGAGTGAGTGATGTTAGAGCGTGAGGTTGAGATCCAGTGAGAAGGGAGCTGAAGTGACAGATTGAAGCGGGTGCGGCGTGGGAGAGAAGGGGGTGATGGGGTCGGAACACTGGTAGCGCGTTGAGGGAGGAGGTGCCACGTGGGCGTGAGGGCAAGGCGTAAAAGAGGGCACAGCACAAAAGGAGCTCATGCTGGGTGCACTCTCCTCCCCCTGCTGTTGTGTGCTTCCTGTTCCGTCCCCTCCTCCTCCCCTCTTCTCTTCACCCGGAGGTAATCGTTGACGTTGAGTCAGTCCAACCACTCCTCGTTTTAGTACACTCATAATCCCCCCCACCCACCCATTCACCCACTCCCCCACCCCCTACTTCCCCCCTCCACACGCACTGGCGGTAAGCCTTGGCGTCAAGGCAGTCGAGCCCCTCCTGTGCGCTCTCAGCCGATGCAAACTTCATGCGCGGGTACTGCACCAGGAACTGGTGATGGGGGGGATGGGACGGAGAGGATTCACACACACGTGCGCAGAAGGCAGAGGACACAAAGGAGGCAGTGAGCGAGTGAGCGAGTGAGAGCCCCTCCTGTGCGCTCATATTTGACACACTTCATGAGTGGGTATTGCACCAGATGCTGGTGCGGGTGGGGGAACGAGCACCACACACAGAGGGCAGAAAAAAGGGGATGAGCTAGAGAATAAGTGAAAGCCCCTCTTGTGCGCGTCTGGACGAAACACACTTCGTGCGCCAGGAACTGGTGGGGGGAATGGGGGGAATGGGAAGGAGAGGATTCGCACACACTTGCACAAGCGCTGAGGGGAGAGAGGGAGAGAAAGAGCAAGTGAGAGCGAGAGAGCCCATCGTGTGCGCTCATAGACGTCACACATGCCACGCGCGGGGAGACGTGGCAAACGACTATGGAAAACGACACGGCAGAGGGGGGGAGATGGAAATCGACACGGCAGAGGGGGGGAGATGGAAAACGACTGTGGGAGGGCTCGAGCCATGCTCAGCTTCCCAAGGAAATGAGAGGGGACAACGTGAGACGGGGGAGTGCACCACTCTGCACCACTCTGAGCCACTGCAAACCACTCACGGCGGAGGCGAGAGCCATGTAGGCGGGGCGGGGCAGCACGGAGGCAGCAGAGGAGGAGTCGAGCGCTGTGCCTCCCGCCCCCGCGGAGGAGAGCGGTGGGAACATGTCGGACGTCACTACCAGGTCCGCTGTGCCGAGATGCATGTCCGTGATGTTGACGTAGAAGAACGGACTGATGGGTGGTGCATGGTCGAGGGGGGAGGGGAGGGGGAAGGGCAGGAGGAGAGCGGTGGGAACATGTCGGGCGTCACTACTAGGTCCGCTGTGCCCAGATGCATGTCCGTGATGTTCACATAGAAGAACGGACTGATGGGTGGTGCAGGGGAGAGGCAAGGGGAAGGGCAGGCTGGAGGAAAGGGGAGAAGGCGTGTGTTTGAGGCGCCTCAAAAGCCGCTGCGTCCAGGCGCATGCCCGTTATGTTCATAGAGAACAACAAAGGGATGGGAGGGGGAGGGGAGAGGAGGGGAACAGAATGTTCTCTTGCTGGGTAGGGGCTGGTAAGGGCCATGTGCAGTGGCATCGCATGCGCCGGGTGGCTGTGCGGCCCGCTGTGGCTGTGCGGCCCGCTGTGCCCCGATGCATGCATGTCCGTGACGCTCACATATGCGCATTGTGGGAGAGGGGGGGAAAGGTGATCAAGGAGGAGAGGGGGTTGATAGGGAAGCAGAAAGGCGGGAAAGAGTGTGCGGTGGCTCCGTAGCAGCACACAGCCCAGCCGTCACCTGAGCGGGCTCTTGTACATGCGTGTTGACCCGCTAGCAGGCCCGGCATCAGTGGTCCCCAGCAGCAGGTGACTCCCTCCCCCAGCAGCAGCGGCATCGTCCCCCTCCAGGCAGAGCGTGAACCACCACCCTGCTCTCTGCAACGCGCCCCCCTCCGCCACCACCACACCCCAGCCCCACCTCAGCTTCCTCACCTGACCTTGCCCTTTTGACTGACCAAACATACCTGAGGCTGCTCTTGTAAACACGAGTGGAACCGATAGCAGGCCCGGCGTCCGTGGTCCCCAGCAGCAGGTGGCTGCCACCCCCGGCAGCAGCGGCATCATCCCCCTCCAGGCACAAAGCAAAGCCCGCGCGCGGCACCACGCCGCTGCCCGCCAGCTGCGAGAGCGGTGAGAGCGCCCCCCCGCCCAGCCCCAGCACGCCCCCTGGTGCCCCGCTGTCCGTCGCCAGCACTCCTGTCTGGTAGCGCCCACAGCTGAGGGAAGGGGGGGGTGGGGAAGGGTGGGGGAGGGGGGGTAGAGAGGAGAGAAGAGAGTGTTGGGGACAGGGAGTGAAAGTGCCCCCCCGCCCAGCCCCAGCACGCCCCCTGGTGCTCCGTTGTCCGTGGCCAGCACTCCTGTTTGGTACCGCCCACAGCTGAGGGAAGTGGTGGGGAGCGGGGAGGGGAGGGGCACGGGGGGTGGTGAGAGGGGAGCAGGGAGCGGTTGTGATGGTGAGCGCCCCTGCGCCAGCCCCAGCACGCCTCCTGGTGCACCGTTGTCCTGGAGACCTGTTTGGTACCGCCCACAGCTGAGGGAAAGGGAGGGTGGGGGAGGGGGGGGTTAGAGTGGAGAGAAGAGAGTGTTGGGGACGGGGAGCGAAGTTGCCCCTCCGCCCCAGCCCCATCACGCCCCCTGGGGCGCCCCTGCCCATTGCCAGTAGACCTGCTTGGCACCGCCCGCGTGTGGAGGGGGAGGAAGGGGTGCGGACACGGGGGGAATGTGCAGGGAGAACAGAGGAAGAAGAGAGGGAGAAGAGAGGGAGAAGAGAGGGAGAAGAGAGGGAGACGAGAGGGAGAAGAGAGGGAGAAGAGAGGGAGAAGAGAGGGAGAAGAGAGGGAGGAGGATGGAGGGCGACAATTCCCAAGCTCCCCGCGCTCACGGGGAGATGAGGGGTGTTGATACGGGAGCAGCAAGGCCACTGCACGCGCTCACCCACTCACTCACTCACTCACTCCACACTAGCCCGAGGGCCACACCAGCCACGCCACACTATGCGTACCCAAAGGTGAGGTTGGGGGCGAGGAAGCTGCCGTCCTCTAAGCTGAGATGCACCTCGTCGCGCACCAGGTTGCCCGCTGAGCTGCCCTGGGGCGAGGTGGACACGAGCGAGTACTGGCAGGTGGAGTCCGGTGTGGGCAGGTCCGGTGCGATGCTGCAGCCCACTGAGAGCGTGTGGTCCTCTGCTGACGCGGTGCACGTGGAGGCGTCGCACGGGATGGTGGCGACTGTGGTGGACTCCGCTGGGTTGAACGGGGTTGGCTGCACGGTGGGCGGACGGAGAGATGTAGGAGAAAGGGAGAGGTGGAAAAGGGGACAGGGGGTGAGAGGGAGAGGTTGGCGTGGCAGGTGGAGCATGTGGAGGAGAGGCAGGGAAAGGTGGCAATGTGCGCGTGCGTGCAGGGCTTACAGTGGCGGAGGAGGAGGGCCCGTCAGTGCAGCGCACGCAGTCGCACGGCAGCCAGAGCAGGTCGGACGCCGTGTCCACCACCACACTGAACGCCTGCTGGGAGGAGCCCACGCGCACCTCCGTGTGGTACCTGGTTGTGTGGAAGGGGAGAACGGGGGAAAGGGATGGTTGAAGGGCAGCCAGAGCAGGTCGGACGCCGTGCCCACGCGCACCTCCGTGTGGTACCTGGTGGAGGGAAGCGAGGGGAGAAGGGGAAAGGGGAGGGACGATGAGGGAGGTGCGGAGAGGGAGGGCAGTGCTGCTGTCATCACCCCGTGCTTCCCTCCGTGTGGTACCCGCTGATGGGAAGGGGAGGGAAAGGGAGGTCCATCTGCTCCTGTCTATCATGTCGCCATCCCTTCCCCCGCCACCTAACTGCGCTCTTCCCCATGTCTCCCCCAACCGTTGCCCCCGTCTCCCCTTGAAGCTCTCCCCCAGAGCGCCTTCCCCCACGCGTTGCCTCTACACGTTTCTTCCTCCACCCACCCTCCCTCCCGCATTTTCCACCGCTCATTCCCCGCCATTCCCGCCCGCCACCATACTCCCGCCCTCCTGCCGCATCCTCCCCCTCCCCATCCCCCACCTGTCCGCGCTGCTGCGGGGCGGCGCGATGGTGACGTCAGCGCGCGACACGGCGGCCCTGAACTGCGCGCTGACTGCCGCGCTGCGACTCGCCCCCGCCGCCGTGTACATGGTCGTCTGGGGGAAGGGGAGGGGGGGAACGGGGGGGAGGGGGTAAAGGGAAAGGGGGAAATAGGGTTTCAGGGGAAGGGGCGGAAGGGGGAGGGGGGAAAGGGGGAGGAGTATGGGTCGGGGGGCTAGGGGCAGACGGGGTTGAGGGGGTGGGAAAGGAGATGGCGGGGAGAGTAATGAGGGAAGGGAAGGAGGGAATCGAGACAACAAGCGGCTGGGGAGACGGATGAGCAACAGGAAGCGTGCACAACTCACTCGTGCGACTCACCCTAAGCAGCGCGCTGTCCCGCGCGTCGCCATACTCGTAGCGGATCTCGTTCTTCAGCCCCACGCGCGGCAGCTCCGGCAGCCCCGCCGCCACCACCGCCGCGTCCGCCGCTGGCGCAGGCTGGCGCGCGTGGGAAGGGGGGGGAGAGAGGGGGTGGCGGAGAAGGGGGGGAGGGAGGGGGGGGCCGAGAGGGAATGGGGAGACGGGGGGGGAAGTGAGGCGGAGTTGGGAACCCCACTGCCGCTGCGCACAAGGGCGCGACGCGCCGGGGGGCGGCGAGAGAGGTGGGGAGGAGTTGAGCATGTATCAGTGTGAAAGGGGGAGAGGAAAGGGGAGAAAGCGAGGGGATAGGGGGTAGCCGCGGGGGAGCAGGCGGGAGGCGGAGGACTTGCTCCATTCCGCCAGAGCAAGAATCGCCCGCCCCTTCCCTCCCGCGCAACCCCGCAATCCAGCGCGCAGCGCGCAAGAAACGCATGCACCCCTTCCCCAACTCGCACCCCCGCCAGCCTCGGCGGCTCACCTCCGATTGCGCCGCTGGCGCTCCGCGCGTGAGCACGAGGTGCACCGTCTCTGCCTCCGCCACTCCGCCCTTCGCCCACGGCGCGCGCCAGCCTTCCGCCGACTGCCCCGCTCCGCCCGTGTCGCTTCCGCCGCCGCTGCTGTTGGTGGATGGTTCGCTTGAGTTCGATGACGTGTCACTGCCTGACGACGTGTCACTGCCTGACGATGACGTGTCACCGCTCGATGAGGAGTTATCACTGCCTGACGATGACGTGTCATTGTGTGACGATGACTTATCACTGCCTGACGATGACGTGTCACCGCTCGACGAGGACTTGTCACTGCCTGACGATGACGTGTCATTGTGTGACGATGACTTATCACTGCCTGACGATGACGTGTCACCGCTCGACGAGGACTTGTCACTGCCTGACGATGACGTGTCATTGTGTGACGATGACTTATCACTGCCTGACGATGACGTGTCACCGCTCGACGAGGACTTGTCACTGCCTGATGATGACGTGTCATTGTGTGACGATGACTTATCACTGCCTGACGATGACGTGTCACCGCTCGACGAGGACTTGTCACTGCCTGAGGATGACGTGTCACCGCTCGACGATGACTTGTCACTGCCTGATGACGTGTCACTGTGTGACGATGACTTATCACTGCCTGACGATGAGGTGTCACTGCCTGACGATGACGTGTCACCGCTCGACGAGGACTTGTCACTGCCTGAGGATGACGTGTCATTGTGTGACGATGACTTATCAGTGCCTGACGATGACGTGTCATTGTGTGATGATGACTTATCAGTGCCTGAAGATGACGTGTCATTGCTTGACGATGACTTATCACTGCCCGATGATGACGTGTCACTGCTTGACGACGAACTGCTGCTCGATGAGCCTCCGTCCGACGTGGAATTTGATTTCTCACTGCCGCCCGCCGCCGATCCGCTGCTCTTGTCACTGCTGCTGCTGCTACTGCTACCGCCGCTACTGCTGCTGCTGCTACCGCCGCTACTGCTGCTGCTATTGCTCTTGTCACTGCCGCTACTGCTGCTGCTATTGCTCTTGTCACTGCTGCTACTGCTGCTACCCTTGCCTTTGCTGTCGCCCGCACTCGTCACATTCGTCGCAGAATCTTTGCTGCTCGTCGCCAGTGTCGCCGACGCTTCGCTCGGCCCCGAGGACTGTCGCCGGCAGAAGGGAGCGGGTAGGACGGGAGGGAATGGCGGGAGAAAAAAGGATGAAGGGACGGGAAAGGAGAAGGTTCGAGGAGGTTGGGTGAGGAAGCGGGGCTGATTTACGTCGAGTACGAGGAGACGCAACATCAAGGATGGATACCGTCGGGGACAGCGGGAGAGAGTGTGAGTGAGGGAGGGGAGGGCCGACTCGAGACAGCGACAAAAGGGGACGAGCGGAAGGAACAGGGAAACGGGTGTATGGGACGGGGGCTGGGGGGAAGGCGAAAGGGCGTAAGAGAGCTGGAGGGAGAGGAGGGGCGGGCGAGGAGAGTGAGAAAGAGTGTTGGGGAGAGCGGAAAGGAAAAAGGAGTAGAAACGGGGGACCGACTGGGACGTGACAAGAAGACAGGAGGAGAGGCGGCGTCGCCGGAATGGGAGCCGGCGAAAAGCCTTCGTTTTGCTTCTAACGCCTGTTACGTGTCGCGAGCACGAGGTGAGCACGAGCGCTTCCCAAGGCTAACCGTTCAGAAACCCACTCTACATCAGTGTGGGACTCCAGGTTCACGGACGCGACCCTGGAAATCTCGGACTTTGAGGCGAATTCGGTTCTAAGAGGCGAGGTTAGGTCTAGGATGCGGATTGGGAGTTAGAGGACCGACCTGGATCAAGGAGGGGAAGAAGGGGAAGTACGCTCGGGTGGCGCCCACGAGCAGCGCGGAGCGGCGGGCGCGCGCGGGAGCATCACCGGCTGGAGCGAGTGGCCCTGTGGGGGGCGAGAGCGGCGAGTGGCCGCACGAGAGCAGCGCGAGCAGCAGCAGCGCGGGGCGCAGCAGCCGCAGCTGCCGCTCCGCCCGCGCTTGCTGCGCGCACCGACCCCCGCATCTGTCGCCGCCTAATCTGCTTCGTTGCCGCGAGTCCTCTGCGCTACAGCTGCCCAACGGTCTACTCGGCTCCGCGGACCGCCATTCGCTGCTTCCACGCTGCCCGCTTTCGGCGCTCGCTCGACACTCAGCCCGCGGAGCTCGCTCGTCCTGGCTGCCGCTACTGCCGGCGCACCGCCCGCTCGCGACGCGTTCGGCACCGCTACAGCCGTTACCTATCGCGCTCCCCATCGCGCTATCTACCGCGCAACCTGTAGCGCCATCTGTGCTACAGCCGCTGCGCCGAGTCGCAGCTGGCCCTGTCGCGCCCATGCCGTCACGCTCTACAGCTCCCCCCTTGGTAAGATCGCGGCCGCCGCTCTGCGCGCCGTCGCTGGACACGCGGAGGCCACGTGGCCGCATCATTATTCTCGATGCGGTCGGCGTGCCCCACACGATCCAGCCACGTGGACAGCGCGCCCCTGCTACTAGGACGGCCGCCCTCCCTCTTTCCTTAGTATTCGCTAATAGCTAGTCGCCTTTCCCTCCTTGCTGTATTCAATATCTAGAACTTAGTCGAAGCTAGAGTCTTGATTCATCACGTCCAGCCGCAGCGCGTTGTACTGTGGCTTGCCGACGCGAATCGGAAAAGTATTTATTTATCAATGACCAGTTGCTAATCGTTGCTGTGAATAGGATTGGTCGCGAGTGTGGCCAGGGATAAGCACTTGAGGGGTGGATCAGCCCCGCGCAAGTCAGCCGGAAAGCGGACGCTGAGATGCGGGGAAGCGGGCTTTTCTCCTGCTTCTGCCCCTGCTGCTCTCTGCTCTGGTCCACGGCATTACGTCAGCGCAACTGTACGGCTTTCGGCCATGCAAGCCATTTCCCTCCCCTAGCCTTGTATCCTGTCCACGAGGCTGGAAGAGAGGTCTGGGTGGCTGGGCACGAGCTCGTGTTTTGTGGTGAGGAGTTTTTGACAGCCCTACCTGCCCACCGCATTCACTCCTGGTTGCTGTGGGGGCCGCCCAATCAGTTCCGCCACGACAGGACCCTGAGCTGGTAACCGCCGCAGGAAGGGCGAGCTTCGCCGCGTGCGCTGGCGAAACCTTCCGCATGTAAAGAGTGCGCAGCGGAAGAAGAGCAAAGTTCCAGATCTTTCCGCCCAGGCGCGGGTGGATGTTTGAGGAGCGCTGCCGAACCACGAATGGCAGGGCCACCGCCGTTTGTTGCCCTAGCTGGCCCCAGGTTGTTCTTGACGAGCCGCAGGGTTTTCGCGAAGGCCATGCTGGGCAAGAAGGCAACCGCACTGTGACTGGCATGGGCGTCGCAGGGCCGTTCGCCGTATTCTGACTGGTGGACTGCAGCGACCGCTGTCGGTTGCTTGAAAAATGACCTGCAGGGTGTTTCTCAGACATCCTCGGCGCAGCAGCATACGAAAACGGGTTACCAGTTCGGGCATATGTTGGAACATACAATAACAAACACACTCAAAAACTTCAAACAGATTATGTTGAATAGTAATGAAGAAATAATTACGAGGTGTATTACCAATTTTGGAGGCTTACATTAACGCGTATGCCCCAAATCCCATCCTCGAAGTTTTCGGCTGGGAAGTCGATCCGCCGTGACCTTCTAGGGATGTCCTACATTAGCTCCCCGCGCGTCGTTCCGTCCACAGCCAAAACCAGCAGGATGTCTACTCGCGCCGCGCCCCTACCGCTGCATTTCGGCTTAAAGCCTAAGTCATCTTCGCCATGCGCTGGAGATCGCGGTAATTCTACATTCCCCTTCGATTCATCCGCTATAACAATTGACGGCTGGTGTGATCAGTAAGGTCAAGCCGCGCCGCCGTCCTCAGAAATCTTTATTTCCTCCCCAGTCAGCTAGCCTTTCCAAAGGACCGTTGTTTTTCTACCTTAGGATTTCATGCACGAGAATCCATTACCTGGAAGGCAATGAAGTACCTTTAGGATTTCATGCTCTTTGTCGCCGGCTCATTTCCTTGTGTGCTGCCGTGTTTGCATCAAGTGCAGGCAGCGAGGCCGCCAGCAGGGATCAGCTTCGAGCGCACTCGTCTCTCATGCCGCGCGCGCGTGAGGCGCACGGGGCCCGGGGGAGGCGCGAGGCGGGGATTAACGGTGCTCCGCACACCTGCTTCAGCGCGCGCGCGGCTTCCGCGGATTCGTCCCATGCTAGGGTCGGTCTGGTGGCAGCAGCTGCTACCGCAGCTGCTGCGGATGTGACAGCACGGGAGTGTGACAGCATCGAGCGAATCGCAGAGCTGATTCGCCGCACGCACGCACCTGCGCGCAATGCGCATGGCAGCGCGGAACACGAGGAGCGCGCAGCAGAAAGGGGGAGTGCGGTGGGGCAAGAGGGGCATGGGGAGGAGCCATTGCGGTCACTGGAGGCGGGGCAGTGGGTGAAGCTCATTTGTGGCGCCAGCTTCGAGGTGAGCGGCTGATTGGTGGTGGTGGCGGTGGTGGTGGTGGTGGTGGTGGTGGTGGTGGAGGAGGAGGAGGAGGAGGAGGAGGAGGAGGAGGAGGAGGAGGAGGAGGAGGAGGAGGAGGAGGAGGAGGAGGAGGAGGAGGAGGAGGAGGAGGAGGAGGAGGAGGAGGAGGAGGAGGAGGAGGAGGAGGTGCAATTTGAGTCGACTCAGAGTGCACGAGGGGCAGGGGGGTTGTAACCGTTTCAGCCACTGGAGGCAGGGCGGTGGGTGAAGCTCATCTGGGAGAGCAGGTTGGAGGTGAGCTGAGCGTGCTGTTTCCGCTCGCTCATGGATCAACGTTTGAAAGTCCTCTTTTGACATTCTCAAGAGCTCATGGCGGCACCTGGACCAACCCCCTCTTGCCCTCCCTCTCTGCGGCGTTTTTCTCTCCTCGCCCCCACCTGGACTTGGCATATGCACGCATCCTTGCATCCGCCAACACAACACAACACAACACAACACAACACAACACAGCACAGCACAGCACAGCACAGCACAGCACAGCACAGCACAGCACAGCACAGCACAGCACAGCACAGCACAGCACAGCACCCACAGCACAGCACAGCACAGCACAGCACAGCACAGCACAGCACAGCACAGCACAGCACAGCACAGCACAGCACAGCACAGCACAGCACAGCACAGCACAACACAACACAACACAACACAACACAACACAACACAACACAACACAACACAACACAACACAACACAACACAACACAACACACTCGCAGGCTGCCTTCTTCTAAGTCTACTCAATTAAATCACTCGTGCTTGTCGACAGCCCTGTGTGCTGTGCGTGCTTCTCTGCCCTCTCCTCTCCTTTCCAAAGCCTCCCTCATGTGTCTCCCCACAACGCCCACACCAGGACGTGGCAGATGTGCGCAACCTTGCCTTCATCTACACCCTTGCAGGCGGTGCGTGTTGTGCTGGGGTGCATGCATGCATGGGGGATGCATTTCCTTGCAGGAGGTACGCTGGTGGGAATGCTGCTCGTGACGTATGTATGGTGGAACGCTCATGAGTTATGGTGGCATGCATGCAGTTATGCAGTCATGAAATGCAGTCGTGATGGCAGGCAGGCAGCACAGAAGCACTGTTGCCCACACCCCACCGTCTGTTTCTGATGAGGTGGCAAGTCACGATGCACCTTCTTCATTGTCGCCTCCGCAACACCATGGGTGCTTGGCACAGGCTTTGCAGCAGTGGCAGCAGCTGCTGAGAAGTGGTGGTAGCAACTCCCCTCACGCACACACATGATCATCCACTCACTCACTCACTCGCTCATCACAATCATCTTCCTCTCGCCCCTGTATCCCTCCCTCATCTCGCCATCTTCCCCTCACCCTCAACCCTTCTCCCTCACCCTCGCCAGCACTGCAGCGGAGCCAGCAGTGGTGGCGGCACGGCAGCAAGTCTCAAACTATCAATCTCCCACGGATCGCCCTCATCATCCCCTTATCCGCACCCCAACCCCTCCTTCCCCCCAGTGGACTGCATTGACTGTGCGGCGGAGCCAGCAGTGGTGGCGGCAGCACGGGACGGCATCAGTGCCGCCATGGCCTGGGCTGCAGCAGCCCTCACGCATGGGCGCGTGTGTGGGGGGGAGGTGGCAGCAGCACAGAGGGGCAGGCGCGTGGGGGAAACAGCGGAGCTGAGGGGTGGGGGGGTGGGGGAGGTTACGGGGGAGGGGCCGTGGGGCGGCCGGGTTGCAGGGGGGAATGTGGAGGGGGGGAGGCGGCCGTGGTTGATGGTCAGTGTGAGCGATGGGCAGGACCCGCACTTCCGCAAAGCAGGTGCGTGCTCCACCCGGCCAAACCGGCAAGCCCCGTTGGTGCGTTCACAAGCGGGCTTGAGAGGTCAGCTGCGCATGGAAGCATGCCCATGCCAAACGAGCAGAGGCGCAGACGGGCATGCATGGCTGCCCCGTGCAGCGGTGACTGTGTAACAGAGACTGCACATGAGGGTGCTGTTTCGGTCCTCTTTGAGTTATTCTAACAAAGCTTCTAATTTAACGTGCTTCCCGACAAAGTAGTACGATATAAAAAAAACATATTGTTCATCAGGGCTTGTCAGGACGTATGGCTCTTGTACGTTCACTGCAGCCCAAGTCGTTGCATCACAGTGCGAAACGGTAAACCTCAAAACCGCTTTCCACTGTGTGGAACCATCCGGAGCCACGAAGCATGAAATGTAAATGTACGGCCGGGCCTCCGCCCTCAGATCTCATCTTCGATTCGAGTGTCCCTTTTTCACATCATTGCATCCCCTTCCCGCCTGTTTTACCACACACCTTCTTTTACCTGCACCTTCTTTTACCTGCACCTTCTTTTACCTGCACCTTCTTTTACCTGCACCTTCTTTTACCTGCACCTTCTTTTACCTGCACCTTCTTTTACCTGCACCTTCTTTTACCTGCACCTTCTTTTACCTGCACCTTCTTTTACCTGCACCTTCTTTTACTTGCACATTCTTTTACCTGCACCTTCTTTTACCTGCACCTTCTTTTACCTGCACCTTCTTTTACCTGCACCTTCTTTTACCTGCACCTTCTTTTACCTGCACCTTCTTTTACCTGCACCTTCTTTTACCTGCACCTTCTTTTACCTGCACCTTCTTTTACCTGCACCTTCTTTTACCTGCACCTTCTTTTACCTGCACCTTCTTTTACCTGCACCTTCTTTTACCTGCACCTTCTTTTACTTGCACATTCTTTTACCTGCACCTTCTTTTACCTGCACCTTCTTTTACCTGCACCTTCTTTTACCTGCACCTTCTTTTACCTGCACCTTCTTTTACCTGCACCTTCTTTTACCTGCACCTTCTTTTACCTGCACCTTCTTTTACCTGCACCTTCTTTTACCTGCACCTTCTTTTACCTGCACCTTCTTTTACCTGCACCTTCTTTTACCTGCACCTTCTTTTACCTGCACCTTCTTTTACCTGCACCTTCTTTTACCTGCACCTTCTTTTACCTGCACCTTCTTTTACCTGCACCTTCTTTTACCTGCACCTTCTTTTACCTGCACCTTCTTTTACCTGCACCTTCTTTTACCTGCACCTTCTTTTACCTGCACCTTCTTTTACCTGCACCTTCTTTTACCTGCACCTTCTTTTACCTGCACCTTCTTTTACCTGCACCTTCTTTTACCTGCACCTTCTTTTACCTGCACCTTCTTTTACCTGCACCTTCTTTTACCTGCACCTTCTTTTACCTGCACCTTCTTTTACCTGCACCTTCTTTTACCTGCACCTTCTTTTACCTGCACCTTCTTTTACCTGCACCTTCTTTTACCTGCACCTTCTTTTACCTGCACCTTCTTTTACCTGCACCTTCTTTTACCTGCACCTTCTTTTACCTGCACCTTCTTTTACCTGCACCTTCTTTTACCTGCACCTTCTTTTACCTGCACCTTCTTTTACCTGCACCTTCTTTTACCTGCACCTTCTTTTACCTGCACCTTCTTTTACCTGCACCTTCTTTTACCTGCACCTTCTTTTACCTGCACCTTCTTTTACTTGCACATTCTTTTACCTGCACCTTCTTTTACCTGCACCTTCTTTTACCTGCACCTTCTTTTACCTGCACCTTCTTTTACCTGCACCTTCTTTTACCTGCACCTTCTTTTACCTGCACCTTCTTTTACCTGCACCTTCTTTTACCTGCACCTTCTTTTACCTGCACCTTCTTTTACCTGCACCTTCTTTTACCTGCACCTTCTTTTACCTGCACCTTCTTTTACCTGCACCTTCTTTTACCTGCACCTTCTTTTACCTGCACCTTCTTTTACCTGCACCTTCTTTTACCTGCACCTTCTTTTACCTGCACCTTCTTTTACCTGCACCTTCTTTTACCTGCACCTTCTTTTACTTGCACATTCTTTTACCTGCACCTTCTTTTACCTGCACCTTCTTTTACCTGCACCTTCTTTTACCTGCACCTTCTTTTACCTGCACCTTCTTTTACCTGCACCTTCTTTTACCTGCACCTTCTTTTACCTGCACCTTCTTTTACCTGCACCTTCTTTTACCTGCACCTTCTTTCGCCTGCACCTTTTTCCACTCATCTCACTTCTACCCCACCCATTCCTTCTTCTCTTCACTCCAACCCCTATTTACCTTCCCTGTCTTCCCCCCCGCCCCACCCACACCTCTCGACATGGCAGTCTTTGATGCCTCAATCTGTCCGCCCTCCTGCCCTCGACCCTGTGAGCGAGTCTGCCCCGCCGCTGCCATCCGCTTTCCACCTGCGGCCACCCATGCTGCCACCCATACCGCCACCGATTCTGCCACATTTACTTTCACCGATTCTACAGCCAGTTGCATGGAGGAAAGCAGCACGGCTATTAGCAGCAGCAGCGTCAGTAGCAGCTGTAGTGACAGCAGCGCAGGGGTGATTGCAGAGCGGTGCTACGGCTGTGGACGCTGCATCCCGGTGTGCCCCTTGGGCCTCATCTGTGCGTCACACCTGCCCTGTCCTGCCCCCTCATCTTGTCTCGTCACTTCTCCTCTCCTCTCCTCTTCTCTCCTCTCCTCTCCTCTCCTCTCCTCTCCTCTCCTCTCCTCTCCTCTCCTCTCCTCTCCTCTCCTCTCCTCTCCTCTCTTCTCCTCTCCTCTCCTCTCCTCTCCTCTCCTCTCCTCTCCTCTCCGCTCCTCTCCTCTCCTCTCCTGCTTTGCCCTGCTCTGCCCTGCCCTGCTCTGCCCTGCCCTGTCCTGCCCGCCTTGTTCCCCAGGCTCACTGCATAGCGTGCTACACCACACATTGAGTCACAACCTCCGCACCAGCTGCTCTCGCTGTGTCACCCAGTCGCTTCCGCCGCCCTTCTCTCGGCCTGTTCCCATCCTGCCTGCGCCCTCGTGTCTCTCCCTCTCACGTTCTTCCCCCCTCTCTTCCTATCTCCATCAGCGGCAGAGCAGCACCAACGAACAGAGGAGGAAACATTGGCGCTTCTAAGCAGTGGTCTCGTGGATGCCATTGAAATACACACTCTCCCAGGGTAAGTTACCCTATCTGGTCCTCTACCCTGTCAATTCGGAACAGCTGCCATGCAAGTGTTTGCACGTTCTAAGTGGTGGGTCGCTCTGGCTTCAATGCATCTTCCCACGCCATCTATCCAATCACGTGCAGACACCTGGACGAGTTCAATGCGTTGTGGGCAACCATCGGTCAAGCAGCAGGATCTCTCAAGCTCGTTGCTGTGAGTCTGTTGCTTCCTTGCCAATTTTTTGCACCCTCTGTTTCACACTCTCCCCTTGCTCTCACTCTCCCCTTGCTCTCACTCTCCCCTTGCTCTCACTCTCCCCTGCTCTTATGCTCCCCCTGCTGTCACTCTCCCCTTGCTGTCACTCCCCCCCTGCTTTCACTCTCTCCCTGCCGGTTTCCACATTCCCACTCTCTCGACCACCGTTCCTACCACATTGCTTGTACGCATTGGCATTAGCCCGACCCGACCCGACCCGTTTAGGCCGACCCGAGGTCGGGATTGGGTCGGGTTGGGTATACCCGACCTGGGGTATTTGGGCAAAGGATGTTGTCCCGACCCGCCCATTACCTCTCGGGTATCTCTGAGCCGCGGTCGGGTTGGGTATACTTGAATACCCTTTTGTTAGTTCTATAAATTAAAAGCAGAAATATGTTTGTTCTGGACGTGGACGGGTATCAAATACCTGAATTTGGACACCCGGGTCGGGTATCGGGTATTTTGTACCCGCCCGGGTATACACTACTTGACCCGCCCGGGTAGTCAGTCCCAATGTAAGGACCCGACCCAACTAAATAGTTTGGTCCGGTCGGGTAACCCGACCCGTCCGGGTCTTTTGCCCAAGCCTAATTGCTTGTCTTTTCTGCCTCTCACACATCTTCAGTCGTACTCTCGCATATCTTCTGTCTCACTACCCGAAACTCTTCCCCTCTTCCTCTTTCAACACTCCCCCACTTTCGCCCTTCCCTCCCCTCGCTTCATGTTCACGCATGTCACACATGCATAGACCCCATGCATCACATCACGCACCACATCATTCCTTCCTCGTTCCTTCTCTCCATCCCTCCCTCTCCATACCCCCGCCCTCCCTCCCTCGCTCCCGCCCTCCCTCCCCCCCTCCCTCCCTCCCTCCCTCCCTCCCTCTTCCCGTCCCTCCCTCCCGCCTCCATGCATATCTACATGTCTCCCTCGTTCCCCATACCCTCCCCCCCATGGGCATGCAGGTGAGTGTGCCAGACCTGGGGGACAGCATGCGGGCTGCCATGCACGCCATGCACCGCACCATGCTGCCACACCTCTCTGCTGCTAACCTCTGGCAGGTGAGGTCAGAGTCAGATCGAGAGGCACCATGCAGAAGCGCACTGCACCACACCGCACCACACCGCACGCACACCATGCACCGCACCATGCTGCCACACCTCTCTGCCGCCAACCTCTGGCAGGTACTGTGTGACACTCTTTGCTTTGGTCAACTCAAAAGTCAACACGCTGCCATGCCACGCACGACATGCACCGCACCATGCTGCCACGCCTTTCCACTGCTAACCTCTCGCATGTGCTGCAGCTCTTGCAATTGCCGCATTGTGTCGGCCCCCTCGTTCACAGCGTGAATGCCCTGCACGCCCTTGTCCTCCCCCCTTCCTTTCCTCTCTCCCCATCCATTTCTCTCCCCCTCTCCCCTTCCTTCCTCACCCCATTCCTCTCCATCCACGTGTCTCCATCCCCCTCCCCCCCCAGTTGGACGGCCGCCCTATGAGCGGGGACATAGGTGCCGGAGCGACACGTTCCGCCGTGCGATTGGCTGCCAGGGTGGCCGCACTCCAGGACAGACCGCCAGGTGAGGTGCGGCCAGGTGAGGTGCGGCCAGGTGAGGTGCGACCGGGTGATAAGCGGTATGCAAAGCACGTGACTTGGCTTAGTGGAGGTGGGGTGTTCATTACGTGCGGCATATGATGGTACTCTCTGCTCGGGGTCCATCCATGTCTGCTTGGGATCCAGCCATGTCCCGCTTGATCGTCCTTTATCTCTCCCCTCTCAAGCCTATCTCTTCTCTCACTCCTGTCATCATTTTTCTCTGCTCGCTCCGCCCTCCCCGCTCTCTCACCCCCCGTATTGGCAGGTTACTTGCAGATAGCAGGCGGGACCAACAGTCACACGTTCACCGCATTACAAGAGCAAGGCTTGCTGCCTTCGTCTGCCTCTGCTTCTAGTGAGTGCTACCCCCGCGCTGCTGCTTTCCCGTTTGTTACCCTGATCAGCACCACAGCAGTTACCCTGATCAGCACCACAGCAGTTACCCTGATCAGCACCACAGCAGTTGCGCCGATCAGCACCACAGCAGTTGCGCCGTCCTCAAAACATTGGCAACCCAAAGGCACCCTGCTGCTGCCTGCATTGCTGCTTTTTGCTGCATGAACGCCAGTGGTGTCTTTATCATTCTCAAAACCAATTCTGAGTCGACCCAGACCAGAGGCACCTCATGCATGCCACTGTGGTTTTCAAACATGCCCATGCACTCTCCCATCTCAACTCAATGCCTTGCAGGTCAAGGCCGCACGGTCGCAGGTGTGGCGTTTGGTGGACATGCACGCAAGGTAAGTGCTCTGATGGTACGGCCACCTGTAACAAGGATGTAACCTGGGTTGAAAACAGTTTTTACACACTTTGTGTCCAAATCTTGATTCTCATGAAGTGTTGAAGGGACCATCTTCAACCCTTCCCACATCATGGTGCCATAAGCTTTTCACAATGCCATAACCCACTGCACGCCACACATACGTCTCTCAGATCCTGGCTCCAGTCCTTGCCCGCCTTGAAGCTGCCCGCCCAATCGCTGCAAACGAGGCTGGTGCAGCCACATCACCCATCGACGTGTCTGTGCCTCCACTGCACATTGAGAGCCACCCGCCTCTTCTGCTCGAGGCACTGGAGCTTGCATGTGCGCTCGTTCATCCATACAAATTACCGCCTTCTCCAACATAGTGTTGCTTGTTTGGAGAAATGTTAGCTTGCTGTTTGTATGTATGGACAGGACATTCCTGTACGTATACAGTATTTTTTTTGCGCTTGGTCCTCGCGCGGTTTATGAATCATATTCTCTCATTAGCCAGCCTTGCAGCAGCAGGGTTGATTACCTTGGAATGCGGGCTGCGCTATGCCGGTTGCCCTGATTCTTGTAAAACATCGGGTTTGTGCTTGTCTTAAGGTGAAATTCTACGTTTTTTTGTAATCGATCGTCACTCTGTTGAGATAAATATTGAAGTTACGGCATGCTATATTTCTGTAGTTCGAGTCGAGATTAATACAGTAAAACGCGCGCTTCCATCGGAGCAGAACAGACTTCTCCTCGAACCTAGCCGAAGCATTTTTCTGACACCACCATTGACGGCTCTCGTATAATTCCGAACGCACTCCCTTCATGGCAGCTTCGATCGTAAATGACCTGCAGAAGTCGTGGCTACTAGTGGTATTGCTAGCCGTATTCGCGTTAGTGGCAGTTCTGCGATCATACATTTTCGATACAGACGGTCCAAGCGTCAACTTTTTCGCGAACGAGCAGGTTACTAACTCAGACGCTGACGTGCCAGCGAGCAAGGAGAATTGCGAAGTGTCGAGAGCTTCTCTAGTAGCATCTGATCCGATCTGCTGGTGGTCCGGGGACCATGGCGGATATAGCGGGGACGAGTCGTCGGAAACCAGCACCGACACGGTCAATAATGGCGGGGCGCAGCGAGAAGGGTCAGCGCAGCAGGACGACTCTGGCAATCATGTGGCTGCGTCTCGAACACACAGTTCTGGCAACCAGGGAGGAAGCGAGGGGAGTTCTATTTGGAAGCGGCGCAGGAAGGGAGGCGTTTTGATATTCGGCGGCGGGTGTAGTCGCTGCGCGGTGGGCGAGCTGTGCGCGTTCGAGATCGCCATCCGATCGCCCGCCAAATGGGTGGCTCGCGCACGCGGTACCGCGGCTTTTAGCTATATTAGTAGCGGAGGCGCCAGCAGTGGTAACGATGTGTATAACGACAGCAACAGCAGCAGCAGTGGCAGCAGCAGCAAGAGCGGCACGCGGATGGGCGTGGGAGGGTTGCGCGAGTCGCTCGTGGTGAGGCTGGTGGGCCCTGCCTTGGCTGTAGCGGATGTGACTGCAGAGAAGGGTGACGTCACGCGATGGCGAGTCACGTACCGAGTGTGGGACGCTGGTAACTACAGGTGCGCGTTGCGCGTAAAAGAGCCCCTTTTCCCCGCACGAGGTGAGGGGGAAGGGAAGGATGTAGGGTAAGGTTGGATGGGGGAAAAGGGGAAGGTGAACGAGGGGAAAGAGGGAAATAGGGGACTTAAGGTGGGGAAAAAGGAAGGGAGGGGATGCGGAATCTTCATCCCTGATGCACTCTCTCTTGAATGCACCCCTTCACATGCCCACTACCTCCTATGAATGAACTTCCCTATTTTCTTCCTTGCACGGAAGAAAGCTTTCTCTTTCCGGGGTGAAGGAGAAGGGAATGAGGAAGGGCATGGTTGGATGGGGAAAAAGGGGGAAAGGGAAGGAGGGAATGAGGGGAGGGAAGCAATGCTGCATCTCTCTCCTTGTTTTTGTTTCCTCCTCAACTTTCACTAAAATTCACCCCTCCAGATGCCCACTACCTCCCATAAATGAAATTCCCAAAACCCTCCCTTTCCCATTGGTTCCTCTCTCCCCTATGCCCTGCCAAATCAGCGTCCTGGTCCAATCAGAGTGCGACACGTTGGACTTTGCCCCCGACTACTTATCGCGAGTGAACAGCACGGGATCACATGTCATGGCACAATGGGTCCTCACCGTCCTCCCACCCCTCAAACCAGCTACGGAACCAGCCACCGCACCTCCTACCGAACCAGCCCCTGAACCAAGTACCGCGCCAGCAACCGAGCCAGCCACTCATCCAACGACTGAACCAGCCACGCCTGCTAAGTCTCAACCCAGCAGCATTTTTTCCCCAGATGCAGACTCGCCCTGCGATTCTTCCATCCACGGCCGCTGGCTGCTCAACGGCCACACGCAAGCCTACACGTGGCAGCTGTACTCCTGCGCGTCCCCCCTCCCCCCCGTTTCCCACTGGCTCTCCGCCCTGCAATCCCGAGGCATCTCCGAGATCAACTTTGTGGGGGACTCGCACGTGCGCTTCCTCCTCCACCACCTCTTCTTCCTCCTCACCGGCAAGGTGAATAAGACGACTGTGAGGTTCCACCAAGACTTTCAAGTGCTCGTGCCGCCCCCCAGCCCCGAGCTGCAGCCGCTGAAGCTCAACTTGTATTGGATCGGAGGGATTTTCGTCGACGGCCCTTTTGGATGCAGCAGGTGCAGTGAGCTCGTTGATGCTTGTGACTTCTGGCCCCGTCTTTCTTTTGTCGATTCCTTCTTGAGCTCTCAGTTGATGAGTCCGTGTGCTGTTTTTGCGCCTGTATCTTGTTTGTGGCCCGATTTCCAAACAAACTCCACGTGCCACCTCTTTTTTTTCGTGCCCTCTCTCTTTCCACGATTTCTACTGCACTGCAGAAATGACTCATCACTTGAAATGCTCAAGTTCCCAGACATCTCCACGACAGCCGATGTGAGTGTGGTAGACAGCGGCTTCTGGACGACTACATTTTGCGATGAGCCGGAGAACGCTTTTGGATACTATCTGCCTAACTTCCTGCTGTGGGTTCACTCCAACATGGAACTTGCACGGCGGGAGCGACAGCAGCAGCAACTCTCGGGACAGGTTGAATCTGAGACGCTTCCCTCCAAGGGCCCTTGGTTTCTGTACCGAAGCATCCCTCCGAAACAGCTGAACGACCGCTGCAATTTTGGAACAAACGCCCTCATTTCGCATATGAACGACGTTATCGCTAACCACGTAGCACGGTACGGGCTCGCGCTCCTCAATGATTGGGTAATTGCAGCCCCTCGGCCAGATGATACCTGTGGGCGTAACGATCAGCACTACACTTGCTTTGTCAAAAGCACTAGAAGCAGGTTTTGGTTTTGGAATTCAGCAACAGAGGCTAAGTATGTAGGACCTGTGGGAGAGGCTATGGTGTGGAATTTTGTTTACCATCTCTTGTATATGCTCAATTGAAAAGGGCAATTGTTTCGAATCTATACTATACCATGTGCAAGAATGGTGGTGGCAGATTGAGCCACGGTATCAACATTTGCATGGCGTGGGGTACCTTTCAAAGAGATACCGGTAATACCGATACAGCTGCTGTGAGAGCGAGCTGTGAGGTCAACCTAGTACCTGCAATACAACGTAGAGAATGAGAAGGGCGCAGGGTAAGCAGAGGGGGCAAGCAAGGTGGGGAGCAGGGGGTAAAAGCAGGTGGCAAAAGAAGGGGTTTAAGAAAGAGGAGGGACGAGGGGGGTGGGTCGCATGATGGCATGAGTGACGAGGGCAAGTACACCCCAACGGAACCCGTTGAGAGTCAAACGACACGCTGCTGCATCACTGTGCCATCCACACCCCCCACCACATTCCCTCACAATCCCATCACAATCCCATCACCATCCCATCACCATCCCATCACATTCCATCACAATCCCATCACATTCCCTCCAATCCCATCACCATCCCATCACACTCCCTCACATCCCCTCACAATCCCATCACCATCCCATTACTCCAGTCTCCCTCACCTTCCCCAGCACGCCTCGGGACATGAGTCTACCCTCCTCCTTCTCCTGCCCCTCGTCTATCGCCCCGCGCTGCATGTAATGCCGCACAGCCTGCCGCGCCTGCGGCTGCGCTGCTCCCTCCCCTCCCTCCGCCCCTTCTGCTGCTGGCTTAGCCTGGAACAGGGAATTGGGGGGGGGGGGGGGGGGGGGGGGGGGGGAGAGAAAGGAGAGAGGATGATAAGGAATGGAGGCGTGGGAGAGAGAGAAGGGAGGAGGGGAGAGTTTTTGAGGGTTTGGAAGGATTCATTTCACAGAAGCTTGGCAAGGCAGTTGTTGTGGAAGAGAGCCAAAGTTTTTTTTTTTCCTTGTTCCCTTGCTCCTTATGTTGGCACACTGCACTGGCGGATGGTGCGTATCGGGCATGCTCGCTTGCTTGTCAGAACTTGCAAATACGCATTGAAATCGCAGATATACCGGGCAGCACACTTCTTTTGCGTGCGTTCTTTTTTCTCCGCTACAGTTTGCATGCCGCAAGGAGTTTAAATCAGGACAGTTTGCTCTGCTGCACGCGTATCAGATATTCATCCCTCTCCTTTGTCACCCACACACATGAAAGCACACTCCCAACCATCCACACTCCCAACCATCCACACTCCCAACCATCCACACTCCCAACCATCCACGCACCCACCCATCCACACACCCACCCATCCACCACCCCCCTCCACCTATTGAGCGGCCTTGGCTGACCACCTTTGCAGCACTCGCGTCACATACGCGTCCCTCTCCTTCTATAGACACCTCACGTAGGAATGAACACGCACATGCGCACACACAACACACACACAAATGCGTGCGCACACACGCACGCAAGCATGCACGCACGCACACACACCCACATACACACCCACACACACACGCACGCACGCACGCACGCACACACCCCCCCCCCCCCCCCCCCCCCCTCCCCCCTCCTCTCCTTCCCCTCCCCCACCTTCTTGGCTGCCTTGGCCTGTCGCCGCTGCAGCACCTTGCTGTGCTGCACGCGCGTCACATACGCATCCCTCTCCTTGGCCGCCACCCGCATCTCCGCCTCCAGCTTCTGCTCCCTCACTGCGCGCCGGTAGGCTGGGGGAGGGATGAGTGAGAAGGGGATGAGAGGAGATGGGAGGGGGGTGTGGGATGGAAGGGCAGAAGGAAGAAGGCGCAGCCTTTTAGATGCTACTCGCCGCCACCCGCATCTCCGCCTCCAGCTTCTGCTCCCTCACTGCGCGCCGGTAGGCTGTGAGTTTGGATGAGCGGGGAGAGGGGGGAAGGGAAGGGGGGAAGGGGCGATAAGAGGGGAAAGGGGAAAGGGAGGGGGAAAGGGGGATGAGAGGGGAGCAGCCACTTAGCCCCCATGCGTTTCGAATATTTAGTAGGCCGTATTAAAGAAAATCTTTGGCTGCCTCCCGCATCTCTGCCTCCAGCTTCTGCTCCCTCACTGCGCGGCGGTAGGCAGAGGGAGCATGAGAGGGAAGAGGAAAGATGAGAGGGGAGTAGGGAAGGCAGAAGGGAAGGGGGGATGGGAAGGAGGCGGGATGGGAGAGGAGAAGGGGGGATGGGAGGCATGATGAGAGGCGGAAAGCATGATGAGAGGCGGAAAGCATGATGAGAGGCGGAAAGCATGATGAGAGGCGGAAAGCATGATGAGAGGCGGAAAGCATGAACTGTTGAACTTATCCCGGTGGGTGGCGGCAAGCCTCATGCATTCCTCAACGTGCTCTGCTCGGCATCTTCCTCACCATGCCTGCCTTCCATTCTGCTCCACCCATTGCTTGGCTCACAAGCTGCCATCCACACATGCCATGCCATCACGCATCCCCTCCCTCCCAACCCTCTCATCCCATCCACCCGTCAACTCTCCCCATTCTCTCGCTAGCCTCTCAACCTCGCAGCAGCTCACCCAGGTTGTCTCACCAACAGCGCCTGTGGTACTTGGTGGTATGCAGATCAGTCAGCGCCTCTCTCACAAACAATGCCTTGTCTTGCATGCCTGCCTGCTGCCATTCTACCCTGCACTACCCCATCCCTTCCCTCAGCCTCTCTTCCTTCCATCCATCAACCCACCCATCTCCTCGCTGAGGTTGTCCCACCTGAAGCGCTTCAGGTACTTGATAGTCCACAGGTCGGCACCTCTCTCACAAACCACGCGCTGCATAGATGCAACCCACATTGCACCGCAGTGCACTGCACAGCACTCACCCATCTCCTCGCTGAGGTTGTCCCACTTGAACCGCTTCAGATACTTGATGGTCCACAGGTCAAACCGGTGGTGCGACCGGTTCTTGCCGCCTGGGAGTGGCAGGGCAGGGGGGAGCAGGAGGGTGTGGGGGATGGGGAATGGGTGGTTGGGAAAGAATGGAAAGGGACTAAAACACCACAGGAAAGGAAGCCGCATTCTGTGGATGCTTCTTGAGGAAATATCACAGGTCAAAGCAGCGGTTTAGGGTTTCGGATTTAGGGTAGACCCAGGCAGCACGAAGGAAGGGCAAAACGGGTGCTCTGAGAGCGAATGAGGAGGGCGGGGCGGGCGGGGAGGAAGGCGGGAGAAAGGGCAGGATGGGGGTACAGAATCAATCATCACGGGGCAATAGGCAGCGAGAGGAGAAATGATGAGAGAAATGGGCAGAATCAATCAAAAGTACAGAAAGGGGGCAACGGAGAGAGGGATGGGACAAGAGACAGCAATGGAGGAGAAGACGGAGCGAGCCTAAGTGTTTAGACAAGAAAAGGGGGAGCGTTGAGTGGAGAGGGAGCGCAGAAACGCACGCACCCATGGGCTGCCCGTTGAGCACCGCTGCCACTCGCTTGGCGTCCCTCTTCCGCGCAAACTCCACCCACCTGCCCACGCCACGCCGTCACATCACATCACACATACCATGGGTGCAGGCAGGGTGCAAGGAAGTTGGGTGTGTTGGGGTTGGGGGGGAAGGAAATCGGGAGCAGCAGAGAGGAGCCGTGAGAAAAGAGCAGCGATGCAGCCTAAGAGAGAGCAGAGGGGAGGGATACAGGGAAGCTCCAGGCTTCAGGCTTTGAACACTGTTTGCTGCTTTTGAGCAGCTCGCAACTGTTGTATTGTATGCTTTTGAGCAGCTCTCTACCTGGCAATCTTTCTGGAAATTATGACGGCGAGGGAGGAGATCAAGATATCAGCTTGGCAATCTTGGCAACCCCTTCTCCTTGATCGCAAGCAACTCTTAAACACCTTTCCCCTCCCGACCCATCAACTGGTAAACCCTCAACCCTGCCCTTTCGGCACCAAGCCTACCATACCCTTCTGGCCCGGAAAATCTATCTGCAACCAGGACCCACCCTTCTGTGAAGTTTTTGTTTCGGCTGCCCCCCGCTGCCCGCCGCCGCTGGCGAGCTGCTGGGTCTGCCACAGGCAGGGGAGCAGAGCAGCGGGCAAACAGAGGGGCGGAAAGAGGGGAGGGGGGAGAGGGGAGGGAATGTGGAGAGGGGAGAAAGGTGAGATGGTGGAGATTGAGGTTTCCAAACCAGCTCGCCGCTGGCGCGGTGCTGGTTCTGCCATGTAAAGGGGAGCAGCGGGCGAGCAGAGGGGTGGCAAAAGGGGGAGGAGGGGTTGGGGACAGAAGTTTCAGAACCCGACCCTCAACCCTGACGAAAAAATGAGGCAGAGGTTTTTGCTGAGCGATGGAGGCGCGAGGTAAATAAAACAATGGTAGATGTTTCGGGGAACAGCGAACGGATGTAAATTTAGGTGTGTGAGGAAGGAAGAGAACAAATGTACCAGTGGGATGTCCAAGGGTCCACTGGTGCTGAAATAGAAACCCGAAACCCCCTAAAACTCATTATTACTCGAATCCAGAGTCAGTGCAGGTGCCCGTGAGCCGAGTTGCCCTAAGCGTCCATCCCGTGTACGCGTCAGGTTCAGGTTCAGGACCCAGGGGGGTCTTTTGAGTCAACTCAAAAGATCAGGGCCCAAGGGAATCTCGGAACCGCGAACCTTGCAGTGGGAAGGAGGTGTTTCAAGGGGCGGGTGTACCTTCAGGTGCCAGGTATATCCGAAGGATTTCCGCGTGCGGCGACAGCAAGTGACGCAGCTTCAAGGGCTTCATGCGAGGGGGTATTCTCGAAAGGTAACACACGCCGGTCTTGTGTCGCTTCTTCCCTTTCGCCAATTTCGCCTGCTTTCTCTTCCCGCCCTCTCCCTGCTCGTCCCCCGCGTCCCCCTCCCCTTTCCGCCGTTTCTGCCCGTTCCCAAGCCCATTCTCTGCGCCCATCGTGCCGTCGTCCCCGTCGCTTCCACTTCGTTCCGTATCGCCCTCATCACTATCACTCTCGCTATAATCACTCCGCCCTTCGGTGGCGTCTTCGTTCGTTCGTAGCCGATCCAACCCACGCGCAGCCGCTGCATCTCCCTCCTCGTTTTCCTCCCCCTCCTCTCCTTCCTCCTCCTCCTCGTTATCCTCCCCTTCCTCCCCTTCCTCCTCCTCCTTCCCTTCATCCCCTTCGTCCGCTTCCTCCCCTTCCTCCTCTTCCCCCTCTCCCTCTCCTTCCTCCTCGTCCTCCTCTCGCTCCTCTAATTCCTCCTCTCTTCCATCGCCCAACGACTCTTCCTCGTCGCTCCCCATTTCTCCCTCCTTCACGTCCCACTTCGCCATCGCGAAACTTCCGCTGACACCTCTTACGCCTACACCAGACCCACCCAAGTCACGCTAAGCCCTCACCGCTCCCCTACTGAGCAAGCGGGTTGCTTGCAAGCGGTGTGAGGAGCAGCAACTGTGTCGGTCTGTCCGTAGCCGATGACAGGTGAAGCTGTAAAGGGTTCACTTGCGCGCCGGAAATGTACACGTAAGTGCGCAAACTAACGAGGCGGGTCAAATAGAAGTCTACCTGTGGTCTAGACTCTAGTAGAACAGCTACAGACCACGCGGGACAAGTAAGGGTGCGTTCCTGGCTAGTGTCAAGCTTCCGGTCATCCGCGGATGACCGGAAGTTGGACCCACTTTGGGCCATCCGAGACCAACTTCGGGTCTTCCGGCCAAAAATTGCCCCTGTTTCCGGAAGAACTGAAGTTTTACAGGAAGTTTGACCCAAAGCTTCGGGCCTTCCCAGGAAGGCCCGAAGCTTGACACGGGCCAGGAACGCACCCTAAACCAGTTGGATGGGGTTCGAAAACTTGCTCCCTTGCAACGTGGGGCTTCGGCGACAAAAGACGAGGCTTCCCTGCTTGAAAATTGTCGGGAGGGGTTTGGTGAACATGTAACAGCTCTCGCTCGCAACACCCCTGTCAACTTCCGCGACACCCACCCCAACAGCCCAGCGTTACCATGTTACAAATTTGAACAACTTGGGCAGCCCTTTTGGCGTGGTCCAAGTTTAGACGAGGGGTATAAGCGAGGGTTGCGAAGCGGACACAAACCCTAGTCTGTCCGCTTCGCAACCCTCAGTCAACCAATCTCAGTCAACCTCCTACCACCGAATACAAAGCACTTCTACCACTTGAGACCCTAGTTTCTCACTAGCTATCCAACAGGTCCATCAAGCACCATCTAACGAGCGGAAAATGTTTGTGTTCCGTTGCGTGGTATTGTACGGTTCAGAAGGACGGCCTTGAATCAGAGCAGGAACTGGTTTTCGTAAAGTGAACGATAGTCAAGGCGGCTTGACTGACTTTTCGTAAGGTGAACGTTAGTGCAGCTGCGGCTGAGGCACTAACGACAATGGGCAAGAGAGGGACGGGGCTGTCCTTTAGGGCTTCAAGGATTCCGTTCCGAGCAGTGACGCCTGATTGGGCACGCAGTTCCTACCCACATGTCAAGAGGTCAGCCCGATAAGCCGCTGCGGCGCACGTGTCAGAACAAGGATGACGCGAAGTGCATCGGCGAACTCCGCGACCGCGAGCGGGCTGCAAGTCTGGTAACTCGGTGTTCCTCCTATCCCGACGATCCCAGATCTTTCCTTTTCCCCGAGCTCGCATTCCAAGGATTGTGACAACCACTTCCCCCCATACACATACACAAGGGATTGGTTTCAAAAAGGAACGAGCAGATTCACGGGAAGGTTGGGCGGCATGGACTGTCCCCTATCCACTAAGTTAGGGCGGTGCTCCACCGAGGCGCGCTTTCCGCCTCTCAACCCGCCACTCGCTGGCTCGGATCGGACGGCCCTTCTGCATCGGCGCTTCCTGGCCACAACTTTGAGATGTCCCGCCAACCGCTAGTCTAGCACGCGGCATTTCATCTCATGGGATGAGCGATCCCATCTCAAGCCCTCAGAGGCTCAAGGGACGGAGAATTTCTGAGTCTGGGTCAGCACCTGAGCTCTTCAGAGTCGTCATTTTCATCTTCGCCCTTCATTTTCATTTTCCATTTTCATTTCATTTTCATTTCCAGCGAAGTTCTCTACTACCATGGAGCGGCGAACGCCAGCACCTGTCTTCCTCTTGCTCTGTAAGCACTTCTAGTACTAACCCCCCTGCTCTTTTAGTGCTTTTGTGCCTTCTTTTAGTAGTAGTGGCGGTGATAATTGCTGATGATGCGCCGGTTTCCGTCTCAAAAGATTTAGGCCTTTGATGTTACTTTGATCTAACCCTAAAGTTGCTTCAAGGTTACCTCCCTGAAGGTTCATCGATGTGTGTTCCGCGTCTTGCGTTGTGATGTTCTCTCCTCATGATGCTCAAATGGTCCGCCTGTCATCATGATGTTTCTCTTCTCTCGCTGCCTGCCAGGTGCGGCGTTCCTCACCGCTGTCGCAGCATCAACCCTCCCGCCATTCCCCCTTCGCGACGGCAGCGTTCTAACCGCCGCGTCTGCCGCTCAGGCCAAACCCTCTGTGTGGAAAGGGAAGGCAATAAGTAAGGCTCCGCAGCTCTATTTGCGGCCCTCGCTGCACCGCATTGTTGCCACTCGCTAGGGTAACAGCACATCCACTCTTTCCAAGCGAAGGAGTTTCGCGTTTTTGTCACTGTGTGCTGGATTGCTGCGTTCGCTCTGTCAGCACGGCATAATCAAGGCGTTTCATTCAGTGGTGCTATTAGCACCATCTACCTCACCAATTGTCTTTCCACGTCCCTCGCCTTGCCCCTGTCGTTCCCACTGCCAGTTAAGTACGTGAACAAGCTTCGTCCGACTAAGATCAATGGAAAAGTGGTTGGCGACAAAGGGGCGTTTTCGAAACTTGTTTTATCGGGGGTGAGGTGCGTCCTTGATAACTTGATGTTTCGTTTCCTACTAAGCCCTCTCTTTTCAAGGCTCAACCACGGACTTAGGTTTTACAACGATAGGAAGGAGGGATATGAAGGGAGAGGGTGGGATGGTTGCGTTGGAGGTTAAAGAGCAAATGAAACCTGCTGCAGCCACGATAATTCGTATCGGGAAAAGTTTCTATGCCTCCAGCTCCCGCCTTCCCCTTGCCCATTCCCCCCCTAGTCCTTTCCCCGCCTCCAACCCCTGTGTCCGCCTGCACTATCTTCCGTTTCCGTCCTTTTCCTCGCACCACCTTCCCCTTTCCCCTTTCCCCCTTCCCCTTCCCCCTGCCCCTGCCCCCGCTCCCGCCCCCGCTCCCGCCCCTACCACCATCCTTTTCTCCATTTCTTTAACAACGCCCCGCTGGACCACTGGGTAAAATCGAAGGTAGTATTGAGGTGCAGCAGATGCCCTCCAACCCATTTTGGAAGCCACAGGCGTTACGCCCTCCACCCCAAAACCCTTCCCCTTCCCCCCCCCCTCTCCCCCCTCTCCCCCCTCTCCCCCACATTCCCTTCTCCGCAGCTTCCTCGCCCTCGCCCACGCGCCGTCTCCCTACCCCCCTTCCCGCTTTCCCAACCCTCACCTCACCCGGCCGCCCTGCCCTCTCCCTGTTCCGCTCTCTGCCCTCTCTCTTTCCATCTCCTGTCGGCAGGTATTCAGCAACTTATTACGGTGTCAGGGTCACGTGAAACGTGTTTAACTTGAAATCGGGTGGATCGCTCCCTACCGGCACCAGTGCCACGTCCTGTTCTGATACTGCTACAAATCCCATCTCCATATCTTGGCTTAACATCACGACTGACAAGCTCGGCCGTCGCAAGCGCTACAGCTTCACAGGCACTTTTGAAATGTTGCATCCGACTGACAAGGCTACTCTCCATACCTATGCGGGGAATGTATTGGGTATCTTAGGCAAATACGCCAGAGTGTAATATGACAAGAACCCGAATGCCCTGTGTGGGAAGATGAAAAAGGTGCTGTGATGGTTGGCTCGATCCGACTGACTCTGGTGGCTCTCTGAGGGTGAAAGTGTTCATGTGCACATCGTGATGTGGATTTGCATGTTTGGGCTGCTGTTTTGTCGCTTCGTGAATGTGTTTGTATCTGAACCTTTGCAATGACAAGCTTCCATCAATCGAAAGTGGGGCTGATTATATCAACCAGTTCCCAGAGTGGGGCTGATTTTATCAACCTATTCCCAGACGGGCTGATCAGGGCCTGTGCTAGGATTTAGGGCACCCTGAGCCCTCAGGGTAACTTTTGAAAATTTTCTTAAATGCCCTGATTTTCCAGGGCAAAATTCCCTGGCCATCCTGAAATTTCAGGGCACCAGCAGAAATTCATCCGGATGATTCAGGGGGCAAAAAATACAAGGGACTGGAGAGGATGGAGGGGAAGGCACGAAAGGAGCAGGTTGCTCACTGGTTTCACTGCTGGCTGGGCGAAAACATAGGTGGGGGAGGGGTGGGGACAGAACTACTAGCACACACACACCCCCCCCAGCCTCCTTCCTCCCCTCTCTCTCTCTCTCCCCCTCCACCCCTTCTCCCCTTCCCACGAGTCAGGGCATCCCTCTACATTCACCCTAACGCTTCAGGGCAAAATTTCACTGCCATTCTGAAATTTCAGGGCAAAACACATGGATCATCCTGACGTTGCAGGGTAAATTTCAGCGTCATTCTGAAATTCCAGGGCAAACTTAAAACACCATCCTGAAATCAGGGTAATCAGGATGTTTTGCCCTGATATCGTGGGCCCTGGGGCTGATCATATCAACCTATTCCCTGAGTTACTGTCAAGAAGCTAGGCTAGGTTAGGAACCTAGGAGAGTGGCGAGAGAGTGGAATGTCGAGAAAGAAGGGGGGTTCACTATAGGCTCGAGGGTACAAATAGGAGACAAAGGAGGTGCACCACCAATACAAAGAGTTTATAACTACACTAAAGCTACAGCTACAGGCAGGTACATAAATATATATAAATATATATTCTAACACTCCCCCATAACTGCCTGCAGCAGGAGCTTGTGCAGCAACAACTCCTGGATGGGTACACCACGAACAGAGAAAGCAGCAACAGGAGGCAAGTGCAATGACAACCAGTGCAGTGGTGGCAGAGACAGCTGCAGCAAGCCCTGAGGCAAGAAAGAGATGTTAAACTGTATCATGTTGGTAGGCTGTAGTGGGGTAGCCAATATGGGGTACAACCCCAACTAGGGTTAGCTACTTGTACCCAATTCTTCCATTCAATGTACCATTCTTGCCTAGTTATTTTGACATGGTATTCAGAGCAGGAGGTCCCTAGGACCTACCGACCGTTTTTTTTAAGGGCCCACCACCGCTCGCATGCGGTTACCACGCTACCCCGTGCCCTAGCCTCGTAGCGCCCTCGTGCGCCCTCGTTAGCGCCCTCGTGCGCCCTCGTTAGTGCCCTCGTGCGCCCTCGTTAGTGCCCTCGCGCGCCCTCGTTAGCGCCCTCGTGCGCCTCTCGTTAGCGCCCTCGCGCGCCCTCGCTAGCGCCCTCGCGCGCCCTTGTTAGCGCCCTCGTGCGCCTCTCGTTAGCGCCCTCGCGCGCCCCTCGCAGCGTCGCCCGCCCGCCGAGCCGCCCGCTCGCAGCGTCGCCCGCCCGCCCGCTGCCCGCTTCGCAGCGTCGCCCGCCCGCCGTACTGCTCGCTCGCAGCGTCGCCCGCCCGCCTCGCTGCCCGCTTGCAGCGTCGCCCGCCCGCCCGCTGCCCGCTTCGCAGCCCGCCCGCCGCGCTGCCCGCTCGCAGCGTCGCCCGCCCGCCCGCTGCCCGCTTGCAGCGTCGCCCGCCCGCCCGCTGCCCGCTTCGCAGCCCGCCCGCCGCGCTGCCCGCTCGCCGCGTCGCCCGCCCGCCCCGCTGCCCGCTTCGCAGCCCGCCCGCCGCACTTCCCGCCTGCAGCGCCGCCTGCCCGCCGCGCTGCCCGCTTCGTAGCCCGCCCCCCGCACTGCCCGCTCGCCGAGTCGCCCGCCCGCCGCGCTTCCCGCCGAGCTACCTACCTGCAGCGCTGCGGCAGCTTCCTTTGCTCAGTCGCACTGTCACTATGGCTTCCATCCGCGTGCTGTCGTTCGATGCTGAGGGCCGCCCTGTGAAGTTCGCCACTTGGCTGGATGACCTGCAGCTGTTCCTTCTGAGCGATAGCAAGGAGCATGTGTCGCTCTATGATTACGCGTCTGGTGCTGCACCTGCCCCTCCTGCCACAGCTGAGCTTAGTGTTCGTTCCCACTGGCAGACTCGTGACGCAGCTGCTCGCCTAGCCATTCGCAGTCACCTCCCGCTAGCTGAACTCGAGCATTTTGGCGACTGCAAATCCGCTAAGGCCCTGTACGATGCTGTCGTTGCTCGCTACTCCTCGCCTGCCACAGCCGAGCTTAGCCGCCTCATGCTGCCGTACCTGTTCCCTGAGCTGTCCACCTTTGCTACAGTCGCCGATCTTATCACCCACCTTCGCACTAGTGATGCTCGCCTGCGTGCTGCCCTTCCCACCGAGTTCTGCGCTAAGAACCCCCCTCCACTGTACTGGACACTCCACTTCATAGTCACCCGACTCCCTGACACCCTCAGCTCAGTTCGAGACCACTTCCTTGCTCGCTGTCCCACTGAGCTCACAGTCGCCCTCCTAGAGGAGCAGCTGCTAGCGGCCGAAAAGAGCATTGTAGCTGTCGGTGCTGCTCGTGGCGCTCCTCGCACCCCCATCTTTGAGGGGTGTTCTCCCTCTCCCCTCGCTCCCTCCTACGCTACTGCTGCTGCTGTTGACTTCCTTGGTGCTGAGTCTGCTGGCGCTGCTTCTGCTCCTGGTGGGAGGCGCCGCACCGGCAAGGGCAAGGGGGGCAAGGGTGGCGGGGGTGGCGCTGGGGGGGGAGGAGGTGGGGGAGGTGGGGGGGGGGGGGGGGGGGGGGGGAGGCGGTGCTGGAGGGAGCGGTGGCGGGAGTGCTGGTGGGAGTGGGGTCGGCAGCGGAGGCGGGGGCGGCGGAGGGAGCGGTGGCGGTGGTGGCGGCGGCGGCGGTGGCGGCGGCGGCGGTGGCGGTCGGAGCGGAGGTAGTGGTGGTGGCGGAGGTCGGAGTGGAGGCACTGGCTCGGGCCAGAGCTCCCAGCAGCAGCAGCGTCCCCAGACGACCCAGCAGCTTCGTGAGTGGCTTGCTCAGCGTGGGACGTCGGGGGGCAATGGCCGCTGTTCCTATGTCATTCGCACAGGTGACCGCAAGGGACAGACGTGTGGGAGGTTCCACACCCCGTACCGCTGCTTCTCCCGCCTTGACGACGCTTGGCGTGAGGAGATGGGCGAGGATGTTGAGCGCCCCCGCTGGGCTGAACTCATGAGGGCTGGTGTTGATATCTTTGCTCTTGACTATGATGCTATTATTGCTGCCATGTATGCATTGACTGTTAGTGCCGAGGGAGACTGTTACTTGTGTGTGCCGCCTGACCCAGGTATAGAGCCCGCTGCCCTGGGTACTAGTGAGTCTGCTCTCTCCGGTATGGTGCCCCCTGTACTTGCTCCCTCCAGTGCTGTCCCGGCTGTTTGCGAGTCTGCTCTCTCAGGTACCGCACCGGCTGAGGCCTGTCACACCTTCACCCTTGACTCAGGTGCTTCCCGCTGTTTCTTTCGTGACAGTACTGAGCTCACACCGCTTCCTGCACCGGTCCCAGTCTCCTTGGCTGATCCCTCTGGGGGCCCAGTCCTTGCCCAGTCCACCACTGTGCTCCCTTGTCCGGCGGTTCCGTCTGGCTCGTTGTCGGGTTTCCACCTCCCCTCGTTCTCGACGAACCTGGTGAGCAACGCTGTCATCCAGGATCAGTGGGTTGACACCTTTACCCCTGGAGGACAGCGTGTGGCGATCTGCACGTGCTCCAGGACCGGCCGTCACCTGGCTACGTTTACCCGTCGGCCGGGGTCGAGTCTCTACACACTGACCACTGCGTCTCCTCAGGTCGCTGCTGTCGGTCAGGTGTCCGCGTCAGGTCTGGTGGCCCACGCCTGTGAGTGTCGTTCCCTGTCACACCAGACTCTTCTCTGGCACCACCGCCTGGGTCACCCCTCCTTGCCACGCCTCCGTGGCATGCACCGTCGCCGCCTTGTGTCTGGTCTTCCCAGGTCTCTCCCTCCCCTCCCTGCCTCGCCTGCGCCGCCTTGCCTTCCTTGCGTCGAGGGGCGGCAGCGCGCCGCTCCTCACTCCTCCTCGTTCCCCCCGACAGAGGCTCCTCTGCAGACCCTCCACCTGGACGTGTGGGGCCCAGCCCGCGTTCGTGGCCAGGGCGGTGAGCGGTACTTTTTGCTGGTTGTCGACGACTACTCGCGTTACACCACGGTCTTCCCCTTGCGCACCAAGGGTGAGGTCCCTGCTGTTCTGATCCCTTGGATCCGCACAGTTCGTCTCCAGCTCCGCCGCCGTTTCCGGACGGATCTTCCTGTCCTGCGTCTGCACTCTGACAGAGGTGGTGAGTTTTCCTCCGATCTCTTGAGGACCTTCTGTCAGGCGGAGGGCATCGAGCAGACCTTCACGCTTCCGGACTCCCCACAGCAGAATGGGGTTGCTGAGCGCCGCATTGGCCTGGTCATGGAGGTCGCTCGTACCTCCTTGGTCCACGCGGCGGCTCCCCATTTTCTGTGGCCGTTTGCTGTCCGGTACGCCGCGCATCAGCTCAACCTCTGGCCCCGTGTCTCCTTGCCGG